ATCTCCTTGGCAACTGGATCTGCACTTGGAAGTTGCTCTGTAAGGACCTTTAATAAAATCTTTTAAGAAGACACATGGCCTGACTTGACTGTATGTGCAGTATTCAGACTGACCGAAGGTCATATCCATGGGAGCATTGATGTTCATTTCATACTCAATTGGTTCTTAGGGGCACCTGCTCAGAATGGTCTTGTGTGTCCTTTGAATCCCCTCTTGGTTTTAACTGTGTTTGTGTGGTATTGACAAGGGACAGAAGAGGAAGACCTAAGCAGAGCTAACCAGAGAGAGGTCCCTTCTCAGACAAATGCCTCTAAATCAATCAATGAACAGGACACCATTTTACCTGATGAATAAGGAAATACTTCCTACACATGGAAAATAACACAGTAGAATTATTCTGGAGTCATGCTGTGCTCTAGATGTTCTCATTTAATCCTCCACATCTTTTAAGTGTGTAGAAAGTGCTTGTTCCACTGATGAGGGGCCTTAAGCCTAGTGGCAGCTGTCATGGGCCTGGGGAGCCAGTCAGGTGCACAACTGGTGGTGGTTGTGTCATCCCGGCTGGTGAAATACTGGTGGATGATCTGGTTGATTATTTGGTTGTCTTCTCAAGTAGACTCAGCTGTACAAGGACAGGCACTGTGTGTACATACTTTTAATTTTCATAAAAGGTAGGGTCCTTGTAGAGTGGGTTATGTTAGAAACACACCAACTGAGGTACTTTGTTCCCCCTTCTTGAAAGGATCTTTGATGTTCACACTAATTTAATGATTTCAACTATTTCGTCAGTGTTGGTGGGAATGAGACCCATTCGTTACTAGAAAGACTTTTTCTTGAATTTCGGCCTAACCTGGCATTAATTGGTCTCTTAGTGATCCACAGACTTTGTTCCAGGGGATGAATTGCTATGTTGTATATGTAGTACTGTAGCCAGGAACTAGAGCCTAGGTTTGTCCAAATACAAAAGCTACATTCATTTTCCTATGCTTCCCTCACCCTAGAATGAAATTTCCTGGCAAGATCCCAATAAAAGGTTTCTGGGAAGGGTTGCTAGTGAGTTGGCTTTGCTGGTTGTGAGCAGGAATTGTGAGACTGCCTTGTGTTGGGCTTCCTCAGTGATAGGAATGTGCACATGGGTGTTAAGCATTTCTTAATGGTTTTCTGCCCACTTCTTGATTACTATAGCTAGCAACTGGGCAATTGCTACGGTGGGAAATGGGGAAATTTATGAAGTTTCATTTATCCCTTGTAGACAAAACTAATTGGCATTTTGCCATTTTCCTGAAAATTTTAACTGAGCTAAGCTGCTTTAGTTTTGTATTTCTGGGCTTTTGATGGTGTACTTTAGTTGTGCCAGTTACGTTTAATGAAACTAGTTCAACTAATTTGGAAATATACAGAGTGCTGGGCGCTAGAAATACAGGCTGAGACAGTGTTGGTTGGCTGAGATTTTATAATCTGGCAGCCAGTTGCAGGCCTTTGTAAATCAGACTAGGTAATCTTGTACATTTCCTTACTTTTTATTAAGTTTCATGTAAACCAGACTTAAAATGGAAGTTAGACTGTAGGATTGAGTAGTGCTGTTAACATTCCACCAGGTGGTGCTGTAACAAAATGTGCACCAGAGTAGCAGCTTGGGGAGAGGTTTTTGTTTGTTTTTAAATAAACTTGCATTGGAGTATACAGAAAGGTATGTGGATTACTAGTGAGTGTACAACTTGTCAGTGAACACATCTGTAAACATTACTCAGATCAAAAAGGGAATGAGGTGGTAGTGTTTTTTTTTTTCTTTTTTTATCTCAGAAACACCACACTAAAACAAATGTAGACCTTATGTTGGAGCACTCTTACTGCAAGCTACTGTAGCTACTCTAGCAGCCCATCTATGTCAGACTGATCTCAGGCCCTGCCTCCAAACGATTCCAGAACTTGATGTCATAGTAATTGCCTCCCTAGACACCACAGTCTTCATGCCTTGTTTTAAAAACTGAATGTGTTTTTTTTAAGTGTGGAAGAAAACTTAAAGTGCTCATTTTTTTGACCCAATGACTTAAGTGGCTTTGCTCCTAGAACTAGGGCTTAGCTGTAAGGGCAGCTGTTGCCTAATGAAGTTTGGTTCCCAGAATGGAGCTGCTGTTAGAGAAGGGCCTGCCTCATTTCTCCTGAGACATAATTCTCCCTCGGGGCATCATGGCTTTTGGTGAAGCAGTCTGCCATCACCAGTCTCCTGCAGGGACAGCATTCAACTTCTTGTTGGGCGCCAGGCACAGCCAGAGATCTGAGACAGTTTTTGGTCTGTAAGATGAACTACAGCAGCTGCCAGCTGAGCTTGGGTCAGAAGGCTCCAGCGGCAGAGCTGCAGTGAAAGGGAGGGTACCTGATACTTGGAAAAGAGAGGGATAGAGGGCACCTTGCCATGGGGCAAGTCTTGCACAGATTTCGGAGTTCATTGGCTAGCTCAGAAGTCTGACTGCACCCCTGGCTAGTATAGAATTGAATCTACTTGAGCCTCAGTTTCATCATCTGTAAAATGGGGGTAATAGTACTTAAATCATAAGAATTGAATGAAGTTACATATACCAAGAGTTTACCGTGGAGATCTGCACATAGTGCCCTAGTTACTGTGCGGCTAGCCTGGCTTTTCTCATGGGCTCTAATCTTGTCTGACTGGACCTTCTAAATGTCCGACTTCCAGAGTTGGGCATTGATGAATGAGGAGAGAGGTGTTTACCTGTAGCTCCCCCGGTGTTCTCAAAGCCAGTAGTCATCTCCCCTCTGTTCCCTCCAAACTCTAGTGTTTGGGAGAGGAGACAAGAACAGGATAAATGAGCAGATAGGGGTACATATTGCCCTTAGGGACTCCTGCCCTTACCCCACCCCCACCCCCCAAAAAAAGGAATAGTTACAAAATATTAATCCTTACAATTAGTAAGAACTGCTCAAGAAAGAAGCTAAATTTGGGTCCAGTGGATGCTACTAAGTCTTTAAGAAAAATCTTTAAGGGGAAGAGGATGGTATTCCTGGGTGGCTCAGGAGTCAGTGCTCAAGTGTTGTAGTCTTCCCACTGGATTATGACAGTCCGTCCCACTCGGGAAGTATCCCTTGGGGTAGTAGTAGAGTAAGAGCCAGGGAGACCCTTTGTACGTGGTCTAACCAATCAATAGTCCTAGGAGATAAGAACACATGTGGTATCCCCTTCTGCTTGTGTTACTGTATCTTCACACGTCAGGGACACAACTATACCTCTCCTCGTTCAACTGGTAACCTCTAATGTCAGGGACAATCTTGCCACATCAGGCTGGGCTTTTGCATGATGGACTAGATGAGCAGAGCGTGGATAAGGCAGCAGCCTCTGGAGAGAGCAAGCTTGTAGTTATGTGGACCACTCACCAGCCTTGGACAAGTCACTTCTCAGCTCTGAGTCTCTGTCTTTGTAGAGGGACAGTAGTCCCCACCTCACAGGTCTTAGGAAGGTGAAATCCAAGGCAGTAGGAAGCCTTGTGCAGAGAGCACTGTGGCACACGGAGATGAAATAGACACCTTTTTCCACTTCACAGGGCATCCTATGGGCGTGTCAGGGGATACCAGAGTTACATGTAACGGCCTGGCCATATGGCACATAATGGAAAAGGAGCAGCAGATAAGGGAGGGGCACAGAAGAGAGAGGTCAACTCAAGGGGTGGAGGGTGTCAGATTGGCCAATCAGACTAAGAAAAATGGCAAGTAGGCGTGCAGAGTGCATTGGAGGAGCAGTCAGCATGAGGACACAGTGCTGCTGGGGAAGGCTGTAAGGTAAGAGGTGGGGCACATGGGGTGCCCAGCCCAGATGAGATGCCCATTTCTTCAGGGACAGCTGGCCTTGGATTCACCCCCACTTCTTCTGTCAGGCTTTTGCCTGGGTAGGCAAGCGACAGTGGCACCTTCTTTGCTTTGTGTTGGGGGGGCTGGGCTTCTGCCCATTCCCCTCTTCCTCCTGCCATTATCAGCTGTGTCCAGATGGTCACAGGCTCCTTAATCTGGGATAATCGTCTGGCCAGAGCTCAGCTGGGACAGGGGCCTTTGTACTGGGCTGTGATGGGCCAGCCCAGCTGGAAAGACCCCACAGACAAGGCCCCAGGGCTTTGGAAGGTGGGGCTGGCGTGGTGCTGGAAGGACATGTGAGGAGCAGATGATAGCGCCTCTTCAAAAGGCAATCTGAGTGCAAATGAGGGGGAGCCTGCAGATGGGGCCTGGTTGGCTCCTGAGAGCCTCAGAGCCTGAACTGCTGGGCCCCAGCCTCAGAATCTTTCTGGCATCCTTTGTTCCCTCCCTCCTCTCAGCTCACCCCTCCTGTCTGCAGTTTTATATTGCTGGCCGTGGAACCCCAGGCCTGAGACCCTCATGCTAAGCCTGCTGCAAGCCTCAACACCCTTGGCTGCTTGGGGTTCACAATTATTTTTGTTTTGTTTTGCTTCAGCCTTTTGTTTCAGTCCCACCTTGGCCTAGGCTTATAGCAGTGAGCCTGCTTTGGAACCTCTCTCCAAACCTTTAACCCTACGAAGGGAGTCCCTGAGTGCTCAGCTGCTAACTGCAAAGGTTGGCAGTTTGAGTCCATTCAGAGGTACCTCAGAAGAAAGGCCTGGCAATCCTCTAAATGGTTGCAGCCTTGAGAATCCTTGAGAAGTGCAGTTCTAGTCTGTATAACATGAGGTCACCATGAGTCCGAATCAACATGGCAACTGGTTGGTTTCCCTGTAGAGTCTGGACTCCAGAGCTCAAGCATCCTTCCTCACCATTTTGCAGTTCTGTCATTCCTAGTCCTTAGATGTGCTTGCTCATTTATGTGCCTATTTAAACTGTATGAAAATATATATATTCTTTGGATGCATGAAATACTTTGTAATTCTTTTTAAATGTCCACACTGTTGTGAAGGTAAATGGGGTAATAAAGAAAAATGCTTTGTAAAGGGCAAAAAACAAAGAGCAGCTACTGGCGATTACTTCTCCAGGCAAAGCTGGAACACTGACCCAACCTTTGAATGAGGTTTTATTTCTATATAAAAAGGAGCCATAAGTTAAGGGTTATTTACACAAGGACGATGAAGGGGACAGAGTGGTACACCTGCATCCCCCCACATACACACACTCCTTTCAGCCTTCTGGCCAGGCCATCCAGGTCTGAGTTACCTGCCCACACTCTGGACGATGGTGACGCAGCCATGGGAGCTGGTGCAGCGCTGCAGGGATGGCTGGGCCTCCACCTGCCCACTGCTGGGGTCAAAGGTGAAGACCCAATCGGTGCTCTCCCCGTGATCATCCCGCCCACCGAGGATGTGGATCTTCCCATCACACACAGTCACGCCACAGCTCTCCTGAATAGACAGACAGACATTCATGGACACCTAGCTAACCAGACCAGATAACAGAATCGACCCACAGAAGAACATGAGTAAGCAGTCTGAATGGCAGAAAGTGGATAGACCAGAGTTCAAGCTTTGGCTTTAGCTCTTACTAAGTGATGGCACATAACAACAACAACAACAACAAGTGAATGGCTTTAGACAAGTCACTTAGCCTCTCTAGGCCTCAGTGTCCTCACATGCAAAATGAGAATGGTAGTACTTTCTCCATCAGGTTGCCTTAGCAGTTAATAGGGTTAAGCATGTAAAGCATTTTGCGTAGTTTATGGAACGCTCCAACAGCAATAATAATCACCACCACCATCATTTTAGGATGACCAGAGGTCAGATGTGGCAGGGACTTCCAGTCCAACCATAGCCCTATATAGTCTCTGGAGCTTCAGGGGAATGGGACAGAAAGTGGGAAAGGCAGAAAGGTGCAGGGGCCAGAGTTTCTAAGGCCTAGACCTTCCCTCTCTAACATCACTGGGGCAGGGGAACTCAACTAGTGCCTTTCTCACCCTACCCCTCCCCAACAATGGGCCACCAGCTGGTGGCCTTCAGGTCAGGAAGAGACCTCAGGTCATTTAGCCCAAACCCCCACACCCAAGGCTATAGCACTTGAGACTAAGGTTCCAGGTTCTGCCCTAACGGACTAATTGGTGACCTTGGACCAGGGTCTCAATTCTTCTAAGGCTAATCTCCTCCATGTTTGAAATGCAAGGGGGGAATCATTGTGAGGACAAAACTAGAAAACTATAAAACCACCTAGCATGGAGTTAGACACAAGCCTCACTCACTAACTCCGAGATCCAGATACTCAGAAATATGCTGTCATTCTCGGGCATAGACCACGCCCAGGAGCCCCCACTTACCACAGGGTAGGGGAGAGTAGCTGCCTCCCCCCAGACATCTGTGCCAGGGTCATAGGAAAAGATTTTGCTCATGAGGCCCCCCACCACATAGATGGTGTCGTCGAGGGATACAGCTTCGAGACACCGCTGCGAGAAGGGGGCTGGCGACCTCAGGATCCACCGGTCCTCCTTGGGGTCAAAGCACTGCACCTGAGGGGTGGGGGAAGCAGCAGAGGTAGGAAGTTTCATTCTTTAACCCACCCTGCTGGACACATTCTCCCACATCTCGCCACTAGGGGCGCTCATTCAACACAGGCCTGAGCTAGCATCTGGGAGGGTGAAGACGACCCATGGTTCAACCCTACCTGTAAGAGTTCTCAGTCTAGTTCCACATTCTACCTTCTGCTCCTGGAGTCCTTTTGTTAAAGGCCTCCTCATCTTTCAAGGTCTAGCACTGATGCCACCACCTCCTTAAAGCCTTCCCTGGTTTTCCCTGCAGGAACAGTTTCTTCTTTAATGGAGAAAACAGTCCACCTCATATAAGATTAACCACATAGGCACACATGTCAACCTTAGAGAGGTTCGTCCCAGGAGAGGGAAGAGCTGTCTGCATCAGTGCTATCAAGGGTCATCAGAGCAGGCCTTCCATGGAATTGTCTCCCTGCCTTCAAAAATGGCCAGCCCTCTTCTCTCTTCCCAGTGCTCTGTTTCTTCAACTGTTTCCTTGGAAACCTCCAAGACAGCTTATAACAAACCAGTGCTGCCTGGAATAGCAGGAAGGTAGGTCATCCAGCTGCTTCCTCACCCAGTTCCAGGAAGTTCGGCTGAAGGAATGGGGTCAGGGAATAGGTTTTTACGTTCTTACGGGTGAGGGATCCAAGTCTGGGAAAAATTCAGGTCCAAGGACCACAGGCCTGTGGGGCCATTAGGAGAGGGAGGGAGGAAGCTGCCATGACCAAAGCTGATTTTTATTTTCAAAAAGTCTAAATGTTCAACAATACAGAATGAGATTAGCAGACCATCATTCATCCACCGGACCATTCCACAGACCTTGAAATAACGTCTCTATGAAGTGTCTCTAAGCATGTGGAAGAGGCTTATATTTAAATGTGAAGAATAAAAACAATGTAAGATTTTACTCACAGTAAGAACACAAATATATAAATATCAAGCAGGAAAGCAAAAAGTCAATTCCGATAAGCCTGGAATGCAATGTACCAAACTATTAATAGTTATTTTTGGATGATGGGATTATGGGTGATTTTTTTTTCTTTCTATTTTTCTGTTTTCTAAACTTTCAATGTTTGTTGTTGTTGTTTGCCGTCGAGTCAGCCCCGACTCATAGCGACCCCTCCTTGGGTTTCTGAGGCAGTATCACTACGGAAGTAGGATTGCCCAACCTTCCTTCCG